TCCCAGTGGACTTGCTTTTTCAAACACGACCAGTGCCTCTGTCTGAGAAGGTTGCCTTTTTTTTTGAGAACATCCTGAATTTTATCAGTAGCTGATAGGACCTTTTTTTTTCCCACCCAACTATCAACATTTTGTAAAAGATAAATGATGCTTAGTAGCCTTCTTTCTTCTCGCTGTTTGGTTTTTAAGCTCTCGAATTCTGACTGCGAGACTGTCATTCAGCACACTCTGTGTCTCCCAAAAGCCACTGAGTTTCATGCTGGAGTCTCTCTTGGTTGCTCTGCACAGTGGCTTCCCGGTGCATCTCTTCTGCATCTCCCGAGGGAAACAGGAGTCAGGGGCCCTGGACCTGTTTGGGGCTGTGCTGCTGGCAGCTCTCAGTTTTGGTCCTAATCAATAGACAATCCAATAGGTCTAAAAGCTTCCTTCTCTCCTGATGGCATCTAAGTGTGAGAAACAATGGGTTGAATTTGAGAGGCTTTAAGAGTTGAACGATGGAGTCTTGAATCTGTTTTCTGATCGGTAAGGCATTGGTCCTGGTGGGGGGGGGGGCGTGGAGCATAGGAGAAATTTTTGGAAACACTGCTTTATTATGCTTCACATCACCAGACACCTCTTTTGCACATCAGTCTTCTCCCTCTCAAGGATGTGCTTCTCCATCCTTGAGGAGCTTGAAAGTGATTGAAGGTGAAAGCATTGCGTAGTGAAATTGGCTGTGCCCCACCTGGTCCAGAAAGAGGCCCGCCTTTGTGCTGACTTCTTATGCATAGATTTTCAATTCTGGGCCGTCTATAACTTTTGAGTCCATGGCCATCCATGAAAACGTTCTTACTGGAACTGTCAGTTGCCCACAAGTAGCTTTGCAGACGTACACAGACGACACCCAGTGTTCTGTTAGGACCTGGTGCTCGTGTGCCTGCTGCCTCTGTATTGAGTCTGCAGCACCTCAGATTCTTCTGCTCCTGTTTTATTTGTTTATTTTTATTTATTTATTCTGTTTTATTGGAGCCAGACTCCAATTCTGGCTGTACTACTTATTAGCTACTCGATTAAGTCAGTTAATGCTTCTGAGCTGCAGTTTCCTCTAAGCAGGAATAATAATTGCATCTTTGTAGGGTGGATGTGAGAGTTGGATGATTCTGTGACTCACGGGGCAGGGCTACTCAACAGCCGGTCCTAGAGTCACTGATGAAGTGGCACCGTCCTGGGGAGCAGTTCCCAGGGCTCTGGAGGTTCACGGAGAAGGTGGCAGCCATTTCCGTGAAGAGTCGAGCCCTGGTGATGTAAGGGTTCAGCTTTAAGTCACATCCTCCTTGCTTTTTTGTTTAATTATAATCACTGGATCCGTGTTAAGAGGGAGACTGACAGGCCAAGTGCATGGCGTGTGGAACTGCAGCGCAGAAGGGGCAGAAGAGGGATAAGAAGGTAGACAAGATGTACAAAGGGGAAGGCGGACAGAAGTACAGGCAGGGATTGCGGGATCCGCCCCACCAGGCCTGGACCGTCCACTGCGCTTCTGCCCCTGCTGGGAAGTTTCTGCAGGGCAGAGCCTCCATCATCGCTGTGTTTTGAGGAAGTTAAACCCCTCCCGGAATGGAAGTCACTTTGGACACACCTTTTGCATCCACAGTTCCTGTAGTAAAATCTGAGATGTTCTGTGCGAGTAGGAGGGGCCCCCGTGGATGGGGGCCCTGGATCTGAGAAAAGTCAGTGCCCAGATCCCCAAAGGGTGTGCCCGTGCCCTCCGGCGCCGCTCGCGCTGCCCTGGGGCTGGAGGGATCTGCCGGGCAGCCTGTGCCTTGAGGCCCCGGGCTTCAGTCCCAGCCTCTAAGGGACAAGGCGGGTTACTCCCGTGGGGAGTCGCTTGCTGTCTGGATTCCAATCTGGCCTCTCGCACTTCTTCACGAACTTAACTTTGACAAGTTACCTAACCTCTCCTGCCCCGGTGCCTCATCATAACAAGAAGCCTTCCCTCATGAAATTAAATGAATTAACTGCAGCGAACCTGATGCTTGGCGCACAGTCAGCCACCAGCATGTGCTTGCCCCTGCTGTTTTCAGCCTCCTCTGCACTTGGTGTCTGGCCCTCCTGGTGACACAGGGCCAGCGTGTTGAGTCAGATGTGAAGCGCTCTGGATGCCAGTGCAAGCTGGCGCTGCAGGGGGGCCACCTAAAGAAAGCGGGGGGCATCGTTCCCAGCACCATCCTTGTTTACCAGCTGGATTGCTCCTTCCCTTTAGGACCAGGCTCCTGGCCAGCTGACCCCCTTCCCTTCCCTTCCCTGCCCCCAAGCACAGTTCAGTGCTGACATTTCTTGGCACAGAAGTAGCCCATGTGAACAGAGAAGACTGCTTCTGTGTGTGTTTCTTCTTCGGTTAGAAGATCTGTATCTCTTGATGTCACAGGTTTCATTTCCTCTGCTTTGTGGAAGCCAGTCAGTGCCCGCTTCTGCAGGAGGGAAGCCGGGACCCTTGGGAGGAACCCCGTGGCCCGGGCTCGGGTCCTGCAGCTCCCTGTCGGGTGCAGGCCTTTCCCTCCCACACTAAGAAGTGCAGAGGACAGGCGCTGGAGCCCTGGAGCCCAGACTCCGCTTTCTTTTATTAATAGCCATTCAGGTTAAGCTGTAGGCTCGTCATACTTTAGGAAAACACCGTACCTTTTTCTTCTAAGGAGACAGGGCTCCTGGGATTCTCTTATTTATGTTGATGACTTTTATGCACCTCAGACACTGCCCATCCTTAGAGAAAGCTCCCCTCCCCCCCAGCCTTCTTCCCAGGATGTGTGGGTGAGCTGCCCACCCTCCACCCCAACACTTGCACTCTGTCCCCCACTCTGTTCGTATGTTCCGTGTGCATCTTGAGTCTGTCTTCATCTGCTGGACCGGGAGCTCCTGGGGGGCAGAGACTGTGCCGTGTGCGCTGTTCCCAGAACATGGTTGTCACTGAATAGATGAAAATCTCTTCTCTTGAGTAGGAGAAGCTCAGATTGGAGTCTAATGGA